AGAGAGAGAGAGAGAGAGAGAGAGAGAGAGAGAGAGAGAGAGAGAGAGAGAGATCAGGAGGCAGGAGTGCTATCTGTTCCATGAAGCACCTCTGTGTTAGGAGAGAATATTTATTAATTAAATTTATACACTGCCTATCTCACCATCAATACTGGGCAGCTATTCCTCTCGGTTGGCCCCATTATTTTGAAGGGTGTGGTTGCAGATCTTTTTTCTAGAAATGAAAATCCTAGATCCTCCTTAAAATGTTCTTTTCCTTTTCCATGTTCTTTATCCCCTCATGCAAAATACATGGGTAGAAAGCAGTGGACCAATTATATCTTGATCCATTTCAGTTTGACTTTCTTTTCTGGCTCAGTGTGTTTATGTTTCTCATAGATGAGGGGAAGAGCTTACAGAAGTGAACTGAGTAATTAACTAGCGGATGGGGTTTAACTTCTCTGCCAATATCTCAGTTCCAATCAGCAGTCCTTGGAAAGAAGAAAGGCAGTTGTAAGCTTTTAAACGGGAGAGTAAATCCAAACAAGACTATGTAGTGGCTGAGAACAGCACAAAAGAAAGATGAGTTTATTGATAGTGGGAATAAACCAAGGCATCAAAAATAGGAATATTTAAGCCAAAAAACACCCCAAGTTATGAATAATAACTACTATTATTCCCAGGAGAGAATGAGTTTTTGCATAAGACTAATAATTCTCAACCTTGACAGTTTTCTTATCCTTGGACTTCAACTCCCAGAATTCTGAACATTTACAACAATTAAGCCCAAAATTAAGCTGAGTGAGACCTTTGTTAAATGAGATTTGCTCCATTTTATGACCTTTCTTGTCACAGTTGTTAAGTGAATTTCTGTAATTGTTAAGTTGGTAACATGATTGTTTAAGTGAATCTGGCTTCTCCATTGACTTTGCGATCATATGACCCTGGGACACTGCAACCCATTGTAAATATGAATCAGTTCCCAAGCATCAGGATTTTGATGATACAACTGTGAGGATGCTGCAATGGTTGTAAGTGTAAAAAATGGTCATAAGTCACTTTTTTCAGGGCCATTGTTATCTTTGAACAATCACTAAATGAACTGTTGTAAGTCAACGACAACTGTACTGATAAAATATTTCAGTAGTAATGTTTATATTTTATTGCAAACTCTAAAGGATTCCTAAAGAAAAACCTTAATGAATATTTTAGCACTTGATTTTGAATAAAACTAGAGTTTAAGCCTTTTCCTTTAGGAAGATTCTGGAACTACTGAAAATAAATTGTTAAGGCAGGAAACTGGCTAGGATGAATTTTAAAAGTAAAACAACAACAACAAAAAATCCCTACCTCTTGTCTTTTCCTTTTTCTTTTAGTGTTTGATTAGCTTTGCAAAACTATGGTATTCCATTCCTATGTAATGACTGCTTAGCAAGAAGAGAATTAGGTGGGAGAATGCCCCATTAACTACACTCAAAAGAAATAATAGCATTGACCGAAGGCCAAAAAGAAAAATCGGCAACAATCAGGGGGAAAAAATCCCAATTCTCCTTCCTCCGTAGATATGATAATATACATTTATCTGTACAAATCAGGGAATGGTAAATGATAGAGTTGAAGGCAGTGCTGAATAATGAGGCCACAAATAATCCATATTGCATTGTGGTTCTTTTTTTTTAAATTGAGTAAATTGTATCTTTTCTAAGCTAGCTGTCTACTATTAGGGTTAACTTTCCACTCTGTTCAATAATTGTACTTGAGCTGAGGCCCTTAGCCACTTTACTATGGTTTTTCCTCCCCCCCACAGCCATTATGTATTAGAAATTCAAGGCACATCAGTAGCATCTGCAAAACAATTATTGCATCTAGGACCAACTCCGCAGTCTAATCCATCATAATTATGACTGGCCTCCTTGAAGATGTCATGATGCATGACTTAGAACAGCACATTAGTATGCAAATAACCGAGAATCTTATTTGTCCAATATGCATTTTAAGAAATCTACTCCCACCAACTGATGCTTTGAGACATGAGGAAAAGCTGGTATAATATTTTTCATATGACAAACTGTAAATACCAAGAGACGCACAAAAGAATCCTTTCATCCACCTTCCCTCACTCTTAAAAAATGTCCTTTTACATCCTGTAACAGGTAGGACATTAGCAAATATGCCAAGACCTCATACAAAAAGGTGAGCCATGTATTGTGGTTATCATTGTTTCATCTGACTTCCAGAAAAGTTTTTATTTGAGGAGGTCACCATTTTTTTCTGAGACAGTGAAAAAAGGGACAAAATATTATGTCAATAAATGCTACCTGATCCTAGCTATTAGCTAGAGGGTTTAAACATAGAAAAGTTTACTATCTGTTTTTTCTGCTGTAAAACCAAATTACATAGTAGATGTGATCATATCAAATTTTCTATTTATTGCTCTCTTTTTTTCT